TACTCCCCTTGTTATTCAGCCCCAGGTGCCTCTACTCCCCTTGTTATTCAGTACCAGGTGCCTCTACTCCCCTTGTTATTCAGTATTAGCAGAGGTGCTGGTACTCTGAAGGGAAAAACAAATTTGTGCTCTTCTGCTTGTGAGTACTGACCGACTTCAAGCACTGGTCCCTACCAGATGTACCGTCTGTGTTTGGTGGGGTGGGGGGGTGGTACTGCTTTGGTCCGGTGGTCCCTACCAATGTTCAAACCAAAGCTACACACAGCTCCAGTACCACCTTTCAGACTAGGCCTGGACTGGCCATCTAACATACTGGACATTTTCCCAGGGTGCCGATGGGTAAGTGGGCCGGCAAAACTTTTCTTGCCCCCGCCCCCCTCCAATTAGCAAACTTCACCATGAAGGACCCCGAAGTCCTTCTCACCTGATTTGTAAACCCAGACTGGCCTTTGAATATTCATCGTCAGACAGAGATATTGTGCCTGGTCTTTACAGGGAATTCAATAATTAATTAGAACATTCACCACTGCTCACTTGGTTGTTTCACAAACAGGTTATGGTAAAACCAGCTTTAAAGATTTAATACAAACCTGAGGAGACATGAGGAGTCACGGTTATATTGTAGGGGAGGGGGGTTAGTCACAGATTGTGTGCAACTTCTATTCCCTAAATTACAGTTAACACACTGAAACCTGCCTTTCGGACATCAGCACAGTGGCGGCTGGTAATTGGCAGGGTGTATGGGCTGCTTCTATAATACACAATGAGACCTTGCTGGCGATGCTAAAAATAGCTGAAAACGATCAGGCATTACGGAAAGATCCATACAACACTGACATACCTTGTCGAAATGGAAAAATTCAGTCAGATCTAATCTGCTTGGTCCATCTCAGAGGCAATGCCAGGGGCTAGTTTCACATACATAAATACTTTGGTTTGAGCATCATGAGTAAACATTTAACAAACTAGGCGATTCAAGCAGCTACATAAGCAGAAAGGCAAGATGGCGCACCGTTTAGCTTTGTGCTGTTTCTAAATATTTAGTGGTACAAGCTTTGGCTGGACCTGGGCCCTTCACGCCGTTCCAGTTCACGTTCCAGTTCACGGCGCTTTTCCACTGGCACCAAGAACTGAGCCGCACCTGACCTGTATCGCGAACTCGAACTTAACTTTCAGCATAAATATACTCATCAGCTGGGCAGCCGTGTTATTCTACTAACTACATCATTGTATTAACTACAATCATGTTTGAAGTGGCTTTTACGTTATGTTTACGATTTCGTTACTTTGCAGGTGCTTTTGTCCAGATAGCACGTTACAAGCATATGGTTGTCGATGAGCCAACTAGGCTGAGCTTCTGATGAATGTCCGGGTACAAGAGTAAGTGGTAGAGCAGCAAGAGTTACACATCGTCTGACAAAGCGAGAAGCTGATAAGGTAAGAAGCAAAGGTACCGGAGTGGTTACAGGCAGAGGGGTGAGTCTGAGGTCTCACCACAAGAAATCACACTGCTGTTAAGAAGTATGGGCGGTAACTTAAGACTGTGGGAAGACGAAGCGATGGATGCTTCAGAAAAGCGCCTGAGGAAAGGCCTGAATAAATCATGGCGACTAAAATGCCTTTATGAGCGAGGACAATTGGCAGGCCTCCAGGGGGCAGTGTGGAGATCACAGCTCTGTCCACTGCTTGACTCCTCGCTTCTCAATAATTGATACCTTTGTTTTGTTGTCACAAAACTCTTGCTTAGCATCCAGCTCAGCTTTCTTATTAAGTCCGATTAAAAGTTTAATGTGGGCTACATCCTGTTTCCAGCTTCCTGTGCCTTCCTAGGTTGAGAAAAGGCATAAACTCCCACTCCATAAAGCTACGAATTCCCTGTTTGATGGCTGGAAAGAAAATTAGCATTTTGTCAGTTTATCTTCTATGTCTTTCAGAGTATTTTTTTTATTGATCCATGCAGCTTAGAGTCGTGGGATATTGAGTTTCAGGATGACAGGCATAAAAGTTTTACTAGGTTAACTGGAATAAAGGTTCCCTGTATTCTGTCTGGCTGTTCCTCATCTATTATGCAGATCCAACAGGCTGCCCACTGATTTACTAGATGATTATGTAATCTGTGCTCCCTAGCAGGGTCCGGCCAGCAAACATGCTGGGTTAAACATGTGCAAACGACACAGTCATCTAGCAAAGCAAACCATCTTACAGCCTCTGCTGGGGACTGAGCTCTTGTCTTCTGGCACCTCCATAGGGTGTACACAGGGGTGTCGGAGGGATAAGGATACCCTGGCAGGATGTTGTACACTAAAGAGGACATGCTGTCAAATTAAAAATAAAAATAAATTAGAAAAAATCTAAATTGTAAGATTGTAAGTCTTATTTCCTCCAAAGACAAAAATCCTAAAATTGAAGGACATTTTTTTCCTTGGGTCTCAGGAGGATATGTGAAATTTGGTGGGGGGGCTCAAGGTGATATTTTGTCAGGGGGTCTAGAATTTCTAGCTATAAGCCTGGGTTGTTTTTGAAAGTTGGACCACAGTCACTAACATATCTTAATCTTTAAAAATAATAACCCATAATGTCTTGATCTTAATATTTCAGCTGTGTAATTCTGAACTGAAAGGCTTCAGAAAGTTTCCCCTCTATCTCCTATTCTGTTTAATAAGAATATTTGGCTGCCAAGTGTCTATTTACCCAAGGTGTGAAAGACTAAGGAAGACATACAGTAAGGTCCTGCATGATAAGGTAGACTGTTATATACTCTTTCTTTTTGTCCAAGGTGTGACACTGACATGGTGAACGGCGATCACCGTAATCGACCGTGCGGCAGCCCCACTGCTCAGGGTCCTGCATGATTTAAAGCGCCGCAGTCGCAGACAAAACGTGTCACCTTCGGGTTCCCCTCCAGACACAGCCGACTGCCAGGCGATCCGTGTTTCCACGCTTCAGGGAAGCATGAATAATTTAAGGGGGACAAGCTACAGATCAGCAAAATCAGCCCTGTGTTTTAATTAAACGTCTTTGTTTTGCCCTGCAGGAATGCGAGGAATCCACAGAAGCGTGTAGACAGTATCTATAAGAGAAAGTAGAAAGCAAGAATAAATAAACTGTACCAGGCCAAGAGGACGGCCAAGTAACACCTGGCTGCGGGCAGATGACAGACGGCCATTTCCGGAGGGGACCGCGCGGTGGCCTGGGGAGGGGGTGCCAACTGGGACCGCGAGGCGTGTTGTCATGTGGTGGGTGCAGCAACGAGACCTGAAGACATTGACACTTTAGGTTTTCCTGACATAACAATCATTTTATGGTGAAGAAACACTGAACTCTCCCAAGAAATAAGAAGAGTTTCCAAGATTTTATGTATTAACTGTAACTGTAATAAAACCTACTGTGAATGGATGCTAATTTATTTCAAATACATAAGGTGTTTTTTGCATCCACTGTTTCAGACATTAGTTAATTCCCTGAAAATATACATCTCAACATTTACGTAATTCGCATTTGGTTATGGCCATCTCTGATATTTCTACATATCTGTGTTTGACAGCTTTGCATCCAGGCTGCGGCACAGCTTCAGATTCAGTCCAGCATTAAGGAGAAACCTGATTTGTATGCAGGAGAAAGATGTCTGTGATGCTCCTTCTGAAATTGCCCTGGCAACCTTGCTACACACATTTGGTATACTTGCATGCTCTGGCCTTGTCATCCTACCTGAGTCAGTTGTACGAGATGAGAAACCATGAAAATGTCACACAGTGAAGCACAACATTTATCAGTAAAATATGCAAATAAGCAACCCAATTTTCTGCTGACAGCGAACCTACTCTGCTTTTTGGGACCATAGTCATGACATTAAATTGTTAATCATAAATTAATCAAGGGATTGGCCACAGTAGTCAGTAGCCCAACCCCTGGGGAGGCTGAGGAAGTTCAGCGTGAACGCCAACATCACCTCAAATTTCTACAGGAGTGCGATCGAGAGCTTGCTGATAGGCTGCATTACAGTCTGGTACGGGAGTCGCTCTGCCAGCGGCCGGAAATCGCTACAGAGAGTGGTGAAGGCAGCAGAGTACATCACAGGCATGAGACTGAGTCTCTCTGCTATTCAGGACATTTATCTTCAGCGGTGCCTCCGTAAAGCACGCAGCATCATGAAGGACCACAGCCATCCAGCACGACAGCTGTTCCCCTTGTTACCGTCCAGCAGACGATACAGAAGTCTGTCTGCTCGGACCACAAGACTAAAAAAAATAGTTTTTTAGTCGCGCGCTTTTTACGTCATACCGGATGTGACGGAGATGTCCGTCCTCTTGACTGGGTAAAGCAGCTGTGTGTGCAGTCAGCCATTAGCTGACAATTTCAAAGGATTTTTTGTGTTTTTTTCTTTCTGGAATTAAACATCCGAAAACCGTTCCAATGTACAAGGTAAAGCCGATCAGTGAGGCCAACATGGATGTTGACTTACCGACTTGCATGTACAAACTACCGAATATCCACGCTCAGCAAACCAGCTGCATCGAGCATGCGCACCAGGTAATTCACATAAGGACTTTAAGGACATCGTGCTCGATTATTAGTGGGACATAAAATAATTCATTCTGTACTTAATGTTGACTGTCGTACGTATTATGTCAATGAATATTTTAAATTAAAATTTTTGCTAACCTGGCAAGTGACGAGATCGCATACAGAAAGAGAGGTTGATAAAATCTGTCATACAGTAGCTTAGGTTAAATACCATTGCTTTCATGTACATTATCTCAAGAATATACGCTCCTTTTTATTTAATACTTTTCAGTTTATACACAGTCCAGGCACTTTTTAACCTATGTACTAGGCCACAAGATGTACCAAAATGAAAGCAAGATTTATTATGAGTGATAGTTTCAGTTATGATACTGATTTTGGCACATTGACTTGCATGTTTACTGTGTGGGTGCTGAAGTAGTTTGCATTCCATATGGTAACTTGCTTTTCTCCTTCCCCTAGAACGGAGAGGTGGACCCAGCACTGAAAGCTCTTGAGTCCAGACAGGATGAGATTATGCGGAGGCTGTACGAGCTGAAGGCTGCGGTGGATGGGCTGGCTAAGACTGTGAGCAGCCCAGACGCGGACCTGGATGCCACTGGCCTGACGCACACTCCTCCGGGCTGTGCCTTCACCGGTCCCTCGGACCTGAACTCGCTTTTGGGCCAGGCAAGTCATGCTGCTGTACTTCTGTAGTGGATCATCACTTTAGTGTGTTTCATTAAAAAATAATCTTCTCTCTATTTGCATCGGTATCTTTGTTTCTGTGTAGAACTTATTCATGAGGGTAGTAATTGGAATTGAATAAAATATAGGATAGGTTCTTATGTTTGGGGTGGGGGCCTTGAGTGTTGAGGAACGTGAGCGCTTGGCTGTTTCCTGCAGGATGTCGGCGTTCTGAGGGACATCGTCATCAATGCTAATCCAACCGAGCCTCCCTTCTCCTTGCTGGTTCTCCACGACATGCTATGCCAACGCTACCGGGTCCTGTCCAGCGTACACGTGCACTCTTCCGTCTCCGCCGTTCCCCCGGCGCTGCTGTCCTGCCTGGGCCCCAGTCACCCTCGTAGCCACAAGCGGCAGGACTTCGATTTCGGCTTCACCCTCATCTGGAAGGATGGTAAGGAGTCTGCTGACGCCTCAGGCAGAGCCGGCTCTGTGAGGGCCGCTAGACGCAGCCATGTCGCCCTTTTTATTCATTACCCAACAAAGCCACTTCATAACAACACACGCTGCCCTATGGCCTGCGAGAATTATCTCTAATAAGGAATGCAGGGAAAAAGCAAAACACATACTCAGTACACACCAGCCAGGAAGTGTGATTCCTCATCCGTTCCTTCTCTGTGCCCTTTGTCCTACCCTGAAATATTTCACCTCAGACAGAACTAAAATTGCCGCCTGTCTATATACTTTGGTGAAGTTTGAGATTCGCTTCAGTGTTTCTGAACGTGGTAATATCCCTCCGCTTTGTGTGTTTGCCCCACCCTCAGTGCCCCGGGTGCAGATGAAGTTCAGCGTGCACAGCATGTGCCCTGTGGAGGGGGAGGGAAACGTGGCACGCTTTTTGTACAAGCTGCTGGTGACCCCGCCCTCGGATCCGTGCCAGGCCACGCTGGTGGACAGCTGGGTCGACGCGGCGCTGTTTCAGCTGGCGGGGGGCGGGGCCGACGAGCGTGCGGCGATGGTGAAAGCCCTGAACGCGGCGCTGTGCCGGGGGGCCTGGCTGGCTGGTCCGGAACTCTGCCTGGCTGACGTGCTGTGTGCCTGCGGCCTCCTGCGGTCCGGGGGGGCACCCAGCGCCCCCAGTAATGTGCAGAAGTGGCTGAAGTCCTGTGAAAACTCGGGCTTCTTCCACTGCGTTCTCTCCTTACTGCATTGAGTGCCGCCGTCAGGGGGCTGTGAATAAACGCATCTCTCCCATGCAGAGTGCCTCTGTCTTTTTAAGCTTTGTGGGATATTGAAAAATGAAAATGCTCCTTTATAAGCTAATAAAATATGCAGTAATACAGTTGGGGGGTTAATACTGCACTACAGGTGCCACACTAATGCTGTGGCTTGCAGTATGGCCTTATGCCCCCAGGTTTAAGGCTCTGACTAGCTCTGTGTCAGCAGAGTTTGCATGTTCTCTGTATGTCATTCGGATTTTCTCCTACAGTCCCAAGACATGCAGTTATGGTAATCAGTGTCCCTAAGTTGCCTATAGTGTATGATTGTGTCCATGTGCAAATGGACCTGCATGCCATCCAGGGTTTACTCCAGCCGTGTGCCCCCTGTTCAGGTCCCCCCATCCCTAATGCAAGCGAAGTGTCAGACCTCCTTCCAAATGGAGCCTGGAGACTATCTGATTTTGAGTATAAGGTTCCAGGTTTATTTTATCTTGTCCATTTGATATAAATTGCCAGCTACAATTCATACAAGCCTGAAGTTTTGACAAACCATTATTACATCCTATATTACTTGCTATGGAAGATTCCGTTATCCTCTGCACACACAAGCTTGGGTCACATGACCAAATTCATGCCTCACAAAGCTGTTTACGGGCTCTTCTGGGTCTTTGGCTTTTTCCCAGCTTAAAGTCAGCACTCACACAGCTATCGACTCTACGTAGGACACCACTTCCTGATTTTATCCTCATCTTCAGGCAGTCATCTAATCCAGCAAGCTGCTGTGGAGCAAATTAGTGTTTACTTCAGTGTAATCCATGCTGCTGTTCCCTGGAATGTGAGAAACGATAACATAGCAGAAGTACTCAGGAAAAACGCTCCAATGCCCAGTCAACAAATAAGTGCATTTTAATGAGGTCCATGTAATATTTAACAATCACATAGGATGGTCTGGATATTCTTTGTGTATATATACATAGCTGCACCCAGGTCACCCCCCAGAAGGCACATGCTGCAGCCATGTATACATTGTTTGGTTTCTCACCACCATCATGATCTTTAGAATCCCATACCAAGCAATTCCTATAAATATGGGCATTACCTTTAACTTACACACCAAAAATACCTATACATCATTTACACATAACTTAAGAAAATGAAACAGTTCACAATAGAATTTAGCAACTGCACAAAATAAATATCAAGTATTCGACGGTTTGGACCGCGATGGGTTCTAGGAACTCAAGTGGACGGCCGCCGAAGAAAGGAATGAAAGCGTGCATGGAGACAGACCCTGGAGGGGGCCACACAAACACACCCTCTGTACACTGGAAAAGCACGAGGGGTCACAGGTCTCCCACCACTGCTTATTATGTGATTCTCGACCTCAGAAAATGTGACCTGGCATCAGTCTGGTCGACTGTAAGCTGCTTGTTGGCATTAAAGCTAAAATCTGAAGTCAATCGCTGTGACTGATTATCGATGTGCGTCTCGAATCTACTATTCATAAGACTGCCGATGGTGATGGATTGTAAAGGTACCAGACAACGAGAACAGAAGTGCACTCTGCCAAACCATGGGTTTTAATGTCTCTTCATTCTTCATTCAACACTCAGTGCTACATGCTGATGCTTCCGTCAAGAACATTTTCGTGGAAACATTAAACATCCGTCCATGATTTCCCGTATGCGCTTGTGCGTTTAGTGGAGGACGGCTCCCATGCCGAGTGCATCTCAGTCAGCACGGCCGTTCCACTCAGGTGATTGGATCAGCAGACGAACAAACACAGAGAAACCGGCTACCGAAACGATGAGGAATACTGTGTGGGTGGGGCTCCTTACGATCCGCATGGGGGTACCCCACCATCCCTGCAGGTCTTCTGCTGAGTCCACAAGGCTGGTCCCACAGTGCCCCCTGGTGGCCCAGCTACGGCCAGCGCGCTGCGCAGAGTGCTGGCTCACTTCTTACTGGCTATGCGTCGCTTCCGGGCCGCCAGCATGTCATAGAAGGGATCCCTACTGACACTGGCCCTGCAGAGGAGCACAAGCAGCTCAGCAACCTGCCACAGAGCTTGATTCACTGGCATGCTAATGGATCGACAGGATCAGAGGAAAAACATCCAGTGACCCAGTTTGGTTTCCATGGTTTCGGAGCCCCCACCCAGTTCCTACACATATCTAGAAAGAAAACATTGCTTTGTTGACAGGTGCCGCGCAGAAGCAATATCTATACAGCCACCGACACAGCTGACAGGTATGGAATCAGCTTTATCCACCCAATGGGGCAGCTTTGGGATTATGAACACATTCTTTCCCTAGACCTCCTCGTGGGAGAGAGGGCCACCTAGTGGTGCTGTCTGCAGGCTGATTCTGTTCCCAAGCATGCACAGACTGCAGTGTGCCAAAGCTCTCCCTGCACATACACACTCATAACACTGGGGGGCGCTAAAGGCCATGTAGTGCATCTTTCTCCCCAAGATGTTCTGCTGTCTTCCCGACTGGCGACCCCAGATCCTATGCCAACATGGGATAAGCGATGTTCTCACTTGATAGACTTGATCCACTCTTCCTTCTCTTCCAGCGTAGGGGCGGAGATCCTGTAGACCACATGGTTACCCTCCACGACACGGCCGTCCGCCTCAGTCTTACAGGCCTTGATCACTTGGCCCTTGTGATTGGGATTGTACAGCTCAAAGCAGTTCTGTAAGGCAGACATATACAGTCTAAGATCTACGGTCCACAGACGCATGTTTAGGGTGTGTGTGTGTGTGGACCATATGTCCACCACACTGGGAGGGAGAGGGTTCCCAGTACGTACAGGCTTCCTGGGCTCCTCCACTTCCCTGATGCTGAGATTCTCCAGCGGAATGATGCCACGTGGTTCCTTATCCTGAAAGGAAGCGAGGAGCGAGATGCAGGTGAGATGGAAGCGGAAGAGACACACACAGACACAGTCAGTGCCGCATGTTTTTAGTGCTTCATACAGCACTAATAAGGACCATTTCTACATCTCATTAAAGGCTGCACAGATGGTGAGCTGAATAGGTGCGTTCATTCAGTTGCTTCTTTATGATGAAAAGGCTCATTGCATAGCAGCAATGCTTAGTTCAAGATCCATGTTTGGTGTGAGTGCAATTTATAAAAAAAAAATAACTTACTGTTGTGTATTCAAAGTAATACAAGCAGCTGTCAGTCAAAATGAACCATCTCCGCTTCCAGGTTTTCACACGGCCACCTGACAACGAAGCAGCCTGGTATTAGTGCGCAGGTCAGTGTGCGGCAATTATACAGCATTGAAATATCACAGCGACATCATAACGAAACTAATCAAGCCCACACGTTCTCACCTCCGCCAGCCACTGTGACCTATATCTGCATCAGCTAATTTTACCTTCTGATTCATCAAAACACCTCCATCTATAATTAGCAAGGAGTGGACGTCGTAGGGTCTTCTGGAATGACTCCAGAATTGAGTGAAGTTTTCAGGTCTTCGTTGGTCTCTCTGTGCTACAACACAGAATTCCTAGATCTCTACGTGGAACCGCTCTCTTACACTTTATAAATTTCTCAAACGTTCCTTAAACGAACATGGATACACAAGCAGGTTTTGCTTCAGATGAAAACAGTACTTGAAGGAACAGCTTGTTCATTCATCAGCTAGATGATAGCTGTAAAATCATGAGAAGATTCTCGGGTCATAAATCATGCGACTAACTGTACAAGATCACCGCTTGCAGCACACACAGTTACAGGAATGTGTTTGCCTGCCAAGAGTAATGAGAACCTAAGAAATGTGTTGACCCCTACAGCAGTAACCTGGCCAATCAGTGGGCACCACTGCGCTGATGTCACCTCTACAGGAAGGGGAGAGATAGAAAAAAAATAAAAAATCTCACACACACACACGCACGCACATAACACCAAACATCTAAGGAGGAATGAAAAGAGAGCAGATAGAGGAGATGGGGAAGGTGCTCCCTAGGTTACCTACCTCCTGGTGAGGAGAAAGCAGATACAGCCAGGAGTCAGAGAACAGAAAGGTACAAGGAAAATAAGAAGGAACATTTAACGACAAACCTATTACAACGACACAAGCAGAAACCAAACGCACACAGGAAAAGCAGAAGCCAGGAAGGAAACAGCAGAGAAATGAACATGCACGACCCAGACAAGATCCACATAAACACTATGTGCTTTGTTTCAAAAGGCGATCTGCTGAACCCATCAACTACAAATGCCGCCTTTAAATACGAGTCCAAAGCATTGACGCATCGCTCACGAGGTCGCTGAGGATCAAGCGAAATCTGGCAAAGTCGCACAGCAACATCGAGGCTGCCAAGGTGGGTGTGGAGACCGACCCTCTTCCTGTATCTGTGTTACAGGCACAGTGGGGTGGACGGAAGTGAAAATCCCAGATCACTACTAACGTTTACAAAGAGTCATCAGCAGTGTCTCAGCAGGACTCCCCTATATGCCATAAAAAGCAGGAATTAACATCAGCTGACATCCTCTCCTCAAACCTCCCCAAGGTTTCCAGTAGGTCAGGGTTCAGATGAATCTTTGCATCCGACCGGAGGTTACCAAGGAAACCAAAAAGAAGACCCCCCTGGATGATACAGAAAGAGACACCGCAGCAGCAGGTAATGGGTTCAGGACCATGCCTAGGTCAACATGCCCAGTCAGGTCACATGACCAGCGGCAGGCTACTCGTGGCCCAAGCTAGCAGCAGGGCTGGGGAGTTAGCATGCATCACTGATCATCTCACTGGTTTGAGAAAGACATGGCGTGAAATGACAGACACAAAGAACGCAGGGGGAGTGGGGGTATGGGAGGGGGGTTGTTAAGAAAAGGCAGCTAGGGGGCTGCCTCCTCCGAGGACGCTCTGCTCACCCAGCTTCAGCAGCCAGCCTTCTCGGTCCGGGTTGAAGAAGGTGTGCGTCAGATCGTTCCCATCATCCTCTGGGATTTTAAAGGGCTCATTTTTAATGCTTTCGTACAAATTCTGTAGAAAAGCAGAAGTCAGAGCAATGGATGTCAATGCAGCACTGGCGTTCATTATACTTGCAGATAGATCTCACAACCGTGCATCCTCAGATATTCATAACGGCTCTCTGGCTTGCACTGCAGGAAATATGAGTGCTATTCCACTTTATTACTTCATGCCAAGAGGAAATATTACAGCCTGGTCTGTGTCTCTGGTTCCACTACTCGCAGACGAGGACAAAATTCTGCATCGTTGAAGGCTGCTCCTTCAAGAGAGTAAGGACCATGAATTGGGGAATTTCAGCTTTTCTATAGTACAATTACAGAAGCTGGTTTTACATAATAACAAGCATGACAAATAATAAGTTAAAACAACGTGTTAGTTCTTCATTTGAGAAACACTATCCATTCAACAAGCCAACAGCAACCAAGACCAGTTATCTCAATTCTCAACTAGAAAAACAGGAACTGCAAAGACCCCCTGTTGTAAAGAACCCCCCAGTTGATGTCAATACGGGAATCTATACTGACCACTTTAGGGTTCTATAATGGAAGGACCCTTTACAGCGGTGCTTGCCCGTGTTTTTGCTCCCTCAGAGGGAGCAAAAATATGGACTGTTTGTGGGTCCTCGAGGACCGGATTGAGAAACGTTGGGTTTCCTGTATGAGCCTCCTTGACGGGGCCCTAACACGCATCCTCAGACGTCTTACCCTGAGCAGCTCCTCGGGGAGGTCCCCACCATCGTTGATGCCCCTGTTCATGGAGATGAACCTCTCCAGCGGCGGCTTGTCACGCACATTGGGGTTGTGGAGGCTGGTGTTCAGCATGATGATGGCAAAGGAGAGCACGTAGCAGGTGTCTGCGGAGAGAGCCGGCACCGTTAGCAGCACGCTAAGCTTGGCACTGCCGCAGCCGACAGCGGACCTAATCAGCGCTAACGCTAAAGCTTCTGGCAAGAGTGAAATCAACAGGGATGTTTCTGTTCTCCTGCATCATGCTGCTCATTCTCATTCAAACTACTTACATTTAAAGTCAGTTGTATTACAGGTATATGGAGTGGGCTTCCGAGCTGAAAGTCAGACTACTAATGTCCCACTACAGGGATGAGATACACAAGGCTGTGACCACGTAACCAGAGACAGAGGAAGTTACACAACTTTTTATGATCCTGTGTGGCTGTTGTACACGGTAACCTACCCTTCGCTAAGATTTAAGCTGCAGCAAAGGCAGCCCTGCGACAGCATTTAGTCTGACCTATCGACCTTTGAACTCTGACCTGTGGACTGGAAGACCCCCAGGTTGCACTGGCAGTAACGTGATGCAAAGGCCTCCATCATGCGGTCGATCTTCTGTGCCTCTCCAGGCAGTCGGAAGCTCCACAGGAACTGCCTGAAGAAAGTATTATGACCCATGACCCCTCAGTTATGTGGATATTTATTAAATAAAGTCACGAGCCACATAACGACGTTTCGGTCAACGACGATCCCCACCTACGACTGTGGTCCCATAAGATTATAATGGAGCTGAAAACCTTCTATCATCTAGTGATGTTGTAGTAGTCATAACATCATAACGTAAGGCATTACTCACTTGTTTGGGGGGATGCTTTTGTAAACAAACCCGCTGCACTGCACATACAATTATCTACAGTACATAAGACTTGGGAATCATAGTAATGTCACTGGTTTATGCCTTCACTGCACTTTATTGTTATCATTTTTAGGCTACGCCATATAGCCTAGATCTGTAGTATAGGATATACTAACTAGGTGTCCGCAAGTACACTCTACAATTTTCACAAAATGACAAAATTCTCAGACTCTGTCCCCATCATTAAGTAACACATGTCCAAGTAAAGCTTTAATCAAGGTTTATTTCATGTGAAACTGTAGGTTGATTTGGGTCCTTGAAATGAATCGTGAATAATTTCACTCTTCTGCTTTAACATATGACTGAATACCAATGCAGTGCTGCTATAGCCTTGGATCATGGCTGAAATAGATCATTACGGTTATTCAGCAGTAATACAGGTAAACACCCGGGACGCCTTGACAGCTAGGTGTCCCAAAACATAACATTTTAATGGTCTCAACAGCAAAGGGCCAGAAGATATGTTGAACACCCAGACATGTGTTAGTTTGAATTTTATATCATTTAACTTCTTTGCATACAAGAAGTCTAGGAAAGTAAATATCTCTGACTGACCAATGATATGTTATAAGGCCAGTAAAAGCTTAATTTTTACAATTTTGTGTTTGGCCCATTTTTTTTATCCAGGGGTGTATATGTATGTTTGTGTGTGTGCATGTATAACCCACCTCAAAGCCTGCACCAGGTTCAGGTCTGCAAACTCATGAAGCTCCACAAACGCCTGTAGCACCTTGATGTTAAAATCATCCCTTTAGGAGAAATGAAAACATTTTGCATTCACGGGTCACGACAGTCACCACACAGACAGCCCTTCATAGGGAAATTCCCTATCATGTAATTCGTTCCAAGCCCTTTGCAAAGGTCACTGATCCACGCTGCTGCAACTCTAATATTTTCACTTTTTTTTTCATGCTTTTCCTTTAAAAATGCTTCCTCCTTCCAAGAGAATGCATAGTGTGACAGTACAGTGATACCACACTCCCCAGTAGGAGGTCTACAGTCACATGACTGTATAATACAGTAGCCCCCAGGGTGCTGGTATAAGGCTTAGACGATCAA